AATTTTTAAAAATCGAGTTTCCAGATGGGATTTGAACCCACGACCCTCCGTGATCTAGTCGGATGCTCTAACCACTGAGCTACAGGAGACTCTATGGTGAGCAAGGGTCAATTAGTGGGTATTGACTGGAACCGCATCACGCGGCTACACAGCCAAACATCAGCTAGCGCATAGAAGCTCACTAACAGCATCACGCTGTCACATTAAAGCATCACATGCATTAAAGCATCACATGCAGCCAACCAGCCTCCAAAGTGAGCATGTAAAGATGAAATAAACAATTTTTAAAAATCGAGTTTCCAGATGGGATTTGAACCCACGACCCTCCGTGATCTAGTCGGATGCTCTAACCACTGAGCTACAGGAGACTCTATGGTGAGCAAGGGTCAATTAGTGGGTATTGACTGGAACCGCATCACGCGGCTACACAGCCAAACATCAGCTAGCGCATAGAAGCTCACTAACAGCATCACGCTGTCACATTAAAGCATCACATGCATTAAAGCATCACATGCAGCCAACCAGCCTCCAAAGTGAGCATGTAAAGATGAAATAAACAATTTTTAATATAAGAGAAAAATCGAGTTTCCAGAGCATCCGACTAGATCACGGAGGGTCGTGGGTTCAAATCCCATCTGGAAACTCGATTTTTCTCTTATATTAAAAATTGTTTATTTCATCTTTACATGCTCACTTTGGGGGCTGGTTGGCTGCATGTGATGCTTTAATGCATGTGATGCTTTGATGTGACAGCGTGATGCTGTTAGTGAGCTTCTATGCGCTAGCTGTTGTTTGGCTGTGTAGCCGCGTGATGCGGTTCCAGTCAATACCCACTAATTGACCCTTGCTCACCATAGAGTCTCCTGTAGCTCAGTGGTTAGAGCATCCGACTAGATCACGGAGGGTCGTGGGTTCAAATCCCATCTGGAAACTCGATTTTTAAAAATTGTTTATTTCATCTTTACAAACTCTAAAAATGTTTTCAAAATTGATAACAAATGTTTTTTTTTTCCGAAAAGAAAAGACCTCTGGTTACTCTTTGCTTCCTACATATACGTTCAGATCGAATGAAATTTTGTGAAAACAAGACTGAAACCAAAGCAGAACTAAATTATAACTTACGTTTCGGCAGTAAAATGAAAACCACAAAGCTTAAATGAAAGAATATTACCAGACTACTGACTGCAATTCGTCAAAAACCTTTTTTAGGATCATATCAAAAAGTGCAGCAGGTTCCCAATAACTTGTCCAAACAGCTGTGGTCGCACAATTCCTAGAGAAATGGTTTGTAAATAGTTTGTATATTATGTTAAATGACCTTTCTCGTTGAAATTTCGTGTAAATATAACAAAAACCGATATCTAAAAGAAAACTTGAAATAAATCAGCTGTCAAACTTTAGCATTCGGATAATGGTTTGTAGATTTTACTAGTAAATGAGCTTTAAATTCTCTGGTAGGTTTAACATCAGGAAAGGAAATGTCATCTTCAGTCAGCCATGAGAGTCCATCTTGATTTAGCGTATGGCAAACTAAATAACGTTAACACGGAAAGTAAATTGAGTAAAACATAGGATGAGTTAAATAACACAAAAGATAAGTTGAAGAAGACAGGAAAGGTCAAAGACGACAGAAGATAAGTTAAAGAAGACAGAAGATAAATTGAAAAGCACCGAGGCGTTGTTCTTTAAAGTCTGGACGTGTTACATTGGATTTCAAGTCCGCAAGAGTTATTCCTCTCTTATGGAAGGGCAAGGTAGTGGAAATGGATAACTATCGTCCCATCTCAATTCTACCCACTGTCTCAAAATTACTGGAGCGGGCTGTTCATCATCATCTTTATCAGTATCTGCGTGAACAGAGTCCATTTCGACGCGGTTTTCGAAAATGTCATGCACCATTCCACCGAATTTGCGCTCTTTCATTTGCAGACACCACAAGAAGGAACATGGATCAGTAGATGTTAACAGGTGCAGCTTTCATTGACTTTCGAAAAGCCTTTGATACAGTCAATCATGACTTATTACTGCAAAAGCTATCTTATATGGGTGTATTAGATAGAGAGCTTGCATGGTTTAAAGACTATCTCCACGATCGAACTCAGGGTTTGGACTTCCAGGGTGTATCATCTGACCCAGAACCCATTTCCATTGGAGTCCCACAAGGATCCATTTTGTGACCTTCATGTAAATGATCTTCCCAATAATGTGAATCGCTGCAGTATGCTTATGTATGCGGATGACACCGTCTTGTTTTACGCCGCTTCCAAAGTCAATGCATTACAAGAAAGATTGAATAAAGAACTTAAAGCAATCGAATGTTGGCTTCGTCAGAACAGTTTGTTTTTGAATGTTTACAAGACTATGCTATGGTATTTGGCACATCACCTCGTCTGTCTAAAATAGATTGTTTTACCATTAGTGTAAATTGCACTCCTATCAGGCCTGTGTCTCAGTTCAAGTGTCTTGGCGTGGTGTTTGATGAATGTCACAGTTGGAATGTTCACGTTAAATTCATCCTAGCTAAAGCTGATAAAATTGGTTGGAATGCCTGGCCGTATTCGCTACTGCATTACTTGGCATAGTGCAAAGATTATTTATACTTCCATGATAAGACCAATTACTGAATATTGTGACACAGTGTGGGGATGCTGTGCACAAGTAAATAAGAATGCTTTAGAGTCCTTACAGAGACGAGCAGGAAGGATTGTATGCAGAGCTTCAAGTAGCGAGGATGCGATCGAAAGACCGAATTTGACAACTTTAGCTTATAGGCAACCCAAGCACACTTTGAATTTAGAGAACAAATGTATAAATGGGCAATGTCCTCAGTTTCTTAAGAACTATTTTACTTTCAATAAGCATTTGTATAGCCGTGATACTCGCCAAAAAAAATTAATCCATCTACCTTCGTACGGACAGAAATTGCAGAACGATCGTTTTATTACCGTGGATCCATAATTTATAATTCATCAAAGTAGAGTAACTTTTAAATACATAATTTTAAATTTAGAAATCTAAAGGCTTATAAATGTGTTTTATATCTTCGTGTTTCTATTTCGCATAAAATTGTAATGTATTTTATTTAGTTTATACTCAGGGCTCCCATTGATAGCAGGTGGCTCTTTAGGGCTTCTGACGGGACTACCCTGAGGTTTACTTTTATTTTTGAATAAAGGCATCCATCCATCCAAATGAAACATAAGTTGATTTGAAAAAAAAATGGAACTGCTACAGTTGTCAAACGTAAAACATACAAACTTGTTTCTTTGGAGGATTGACAGTTTCAGCGAGATTTTGAGACAACCAAAGTACGAAGGAAAGGAGAGGATAGACAGTGATCCATTCTGCACCAAAACTGAAACAGAAAGCTATGACTACAAGTTAAAAGTAATTCTCTATCCTAATGGCGACTCACCGTGGAGTAATAATCCCCTGTCGGTGTACATTGTTGTAATGAAAGGTAAATATGACGCAATATTACCCTGGCCCTTCAAAAAGAAAGTGAAATTCATTTTGTTTGATCAGCAGGAAAATCTAGACCAACGGGAAAACGTGGCTACTGTATTCGTTACACAAAATCTTTCAAACTTTGTAAGGCCTGTGACAGAAGAAAACGCTGGAAAGGGTTGGAGAACGTTCGAATCTGAAAAACTCTACTCGAGACGCTTTATCGTGGATGACACTTTCTTTCTTCAGGTTGAGATTAGTTCGTCATGTAGTTGATTTAATGCTCCATCCTTAAAGCAAACAGGAAAAAAGGATAAAAGTTAGCTTCTCGAAATGACTGACAAACTCCATGAAGTAGCTATGATAAGACTTTACATTTTGTGACGGATGAGCCTTTAAAACTTTTCAGGTTGTTGATAATACGGCCAAGTCGGTTTGCTCACTAAGCTCCAAATAAAACGCCATTCAACAAAAACCAGCTTTAAACTTTTGATTGAAGGCACTGATAATTAGGATGCCACCTGTCCAATAACTCGAGGCCAAGACAGCTTCGACAGTAAGGTTACAAGTAAGCTCTACTCTTTCCTTTTGCAGTACAAAGGATGAAAAAACCTTCAACTCAGCTTAAATCAATCCCAGTATTTTTTCTTTTTTGGCAGAAAGGTCCTTAGGTATATTTTGTAAAAAAATTCGATAACGAAAAAAGAGCCGGTAGAGTCTAATGTCCGTAGTAAAAATATTTAATGAACTAGTGGAATTAACGACGACATTTCGCTCAAATAAAAACTCCGAAACTTCTTACATTTCCAAACAAAGGGGTAACAAATCTGTGTGAAAGAGAGGTCAGAAAAAACTCATTAAAGCAAACAACAAAAGTGGGCGAAAATGTTCACGTCCGTTTTAATGTCAAAGTAAGAGTTCTTTGACGTGATTGGCTAATTTGTGAAATCACGCCCGTCGTGCGTGAATACGAAAAGAATACCAAGGGGAGAGAGAAGAGGAAATTTTGATTTGAAATTTAAGAGATTTTCACATACCTCTTAAAAAATCAAGGCGAGCACGGGGACAGCCTTTGCCGACCCTTTGTTTGCGAAGTAAAAGCAATCAAATATGATTTTTTAAACAAAACAAAACGTTATTGAACACTGGCGCAACATACGAACGAAGGAGCCCTCTGGACTTGCACTGTATACCTACCTGTGATCCCAACTGGATCATCGTGTACCGTGAATTCAAATTATCTGACCTTCTTTTAATCCTTTAGACGTTTGCAGTTGCCCACATGTTTGACTGCTGTGTTTTGTTGAACATGAGCTAATCTGCACAAACTCCATCAAATTAATAAATGGATGGAGATATTCCCAAAGTACCAATCTGCGCTACAGGTACAAAAAGAAGGCAGGATCTGCAAAAACCAAAGTGTTCTTGGATTTTAGAACTGAAATGTGACCCAAACGCAAATCCTTTTTTGTATGACATCAGGTTCCGGTTGTTCGAAGGTTGGATGACGCTATCCACTAGATGAATCTTTATCCGGTGGATAGCGCAGCACGTTTTGCTCTCACTTATCCGCTGGATAGCATCTTATCAGTTGGATGGCATTACATACCCTTAATACAACTGGCTCCAGGCCTGTCTACTACCTGACACAAAACCAAGTAAGTTAACTAAGTCATCCGGGTGATCTGGGTGCGGTTCAGTTATACACGTGTTGACACACTCTGGCATCTCCAAGAAACGTTGTCTGCGACCATACTAAAAATCGATAGAGTAAAAACCCGCGTGTAAGAACCTAGTTTTTTTCATGTCTGGCAAAATAGGTTCTTATGTTTTGGTGTATTTACTGACAACCTAGGCAAAACAGGTTCTTAATAGGTTTTTGATAAATCTGCAATGCCAGACTTAATTTTCTATACTATACTGTACAATACACTGTGTAGTGAACAATGTACTTAATTATACAGTTTAGAAGTTTATACCCAGGAGTACATTTTTTTGAACTTGCTTAAATACATGACTGGGAGCCATAAATACAGTGGGGAAGCTGTATTATGACATGTTTTATGGAAGTATCAAATGAATAGAAAACATTTATTTTATAGTTACAGACATATTTTGCTACAACATTGTTTCATATCCAGAATGACTCTTCATATAAGAACCATGCAGCTTTTACTGGGTAAACAGGTTCTTATATTTTTGGGTATTAAAATCCAAAATTTCTGCCAAAAAGTTTCTTAATTACTAAGTTCTTACACGCGGGTTTTTACTGTAGCTGAAATGATAAATCTGGAAAGGCCCAGGTGACGAATAATTTGGAATGAAATTGAAACTTTTCGAAGGTTGGTTCATCATTCTCACCAAATGGAAAATTAATTTTTTTTTTTTCTGGTGGCGGGTGGGAAAGGGTGATAACGGCACTCGCTCCCTTTTTTGTCCAAGGGGAGTTTGACTAGATTCAACCCGTCCTAATAAGCGATGTTTCCTGACACAATTTCGAAAAGTTGGGAACAGGAAATGCCAGCCTTTGATATAAATACTTACTGCATACTAACTGAACTTGAGGTCCGTATTAAAAGTTAATTATCGCGAAGCGCGCACCCATAGATCGAAGCTTAAAAAACGAGAATCTGTAACCCATGAGAAAGGCCAAGAAGACTTGGTAGGTATGATGTTTATGAAATACCTACTGTCCGTCTAACACATTCGGGAAATGATTTCTGATCACGCGAAGCGCAATCAAACGGCTGACGCAAGTTATAATCAAAATGCCCGAGCTGTTCCTAGATTGGTTTAAAAAATGATAAGCAACATAGCGAACTTTAGAATTAAGCGGGCCTAGCAAAAGGCATACAATAAATTATAATTACGATTTTGACATATTAGCTTCCAAAGAGACGTTGTACAACTTAAACACAGTTTAGTACCTTGTCCTTAGTACACAAAAATATTCCGAAGCAGTTATATGGTACACTCCAAAACTGATTAAACTTCATTTCATTTCCGGCTCCACTTATCACATAGTAACGGTTTAAACCCGTAAAAACCATGGTTGTCCTAAAGAATTTCATTGAAATCTCATAAAAAGGATCGAATTGAGTTTCAAACAGCAAACGGTCGATCATAAAGCAACCTTTTAATTATTCACCTGGGAAGTTTCATACAGATATGATAATCAACTAAATGATCCTTAAAAAAAGAATTTTGGTCCAGAATTATTTTTCTCTCAATGCACTGTAAAGGCACTGAATTTTTTTTCTTTCTTGACTATATTTTTGAATGGCAACTGTTTCGATCCAAAGCTAGTCACAGCTAAGTTCATGAAACCTCGTGACCAAGAAGTCATTTGCAAGGTTCTTGAATCTCAACTTGTATCAATAGACTATCATTCAGTAGGTACTTCCTTGAATTGAGCTTCTCGTGAGTTATAAATTTTGGAAAGCCACATGCTAAGTTCTCCTTTTCTTTGGGCCTAGCAAAGTGAGCCGAGGAGCGTTCCGGATTAATCAGTTTAATAACATTTTCCCGTTCGTCTTCATCTTCCTGTTGATCAATCAGTGTTAGTTGCACTTTCTTCTAAAAGGGCCAGGTTAATATGGCGTCATATTCACCTTTCATTACAACAATGAATATCGAAAGGTGAGTATTCCTGCCAGATCCCTCGCCATTGGATTTAATTCTTACTTTTAAATTGTATCCATAGGTTGCTGTGTTGGGAATCATACTTTCTACTGTTTCTTTAATTCCGGCCTTGGACTGTTTGAACACTTCATTAAAATCATGAATCTCCCAGAGAAAAGTTCCGTTTTCCCTATCTAGAACTTTATTTCTGTCTTAGAGTACTTTTTCCACGAAAAGGTTCTGAAGTGTCGCAAAGTTTTCCATCAGTTGTTTAGTCAAGTCTTGAGTTTCTTTCAGCTTGTATTGTGTTTCCTTGAATTTAACTTCAGTGTCGCGCAACTTCAGACAAGCTAAATCAAGATGAACAGTCACGGCGGATTGAAGATGCTTCTCCATCTGGTTTCTTTGAATCTGCAAGATAATTAGGTCCCTAATGTTAAGAAATTTTCCAGTTCTCCAGAGAAATATATATTCTGACAAACACTTAAAATCAAAGCTCTACTTATAGGTCCTTTTACCAATTCATCAAAACCATGACACGATTCGAGAAAGAAACTAAACGTCGGTTATAAGTTTTTATAAAAAAATAAATTCCTTTTCATTTCATCTCATTTCATTCTCTTCTCTTTTTTTTCAATTCTCTGAGTCGGTCTTTGTCACATTGGCTACAATACCTAACATACCGACCTTGGTTTCGCAGCCCATCATCACATAAGGGCAGGATATCATGGTGTGAGGACATTCGTCCCTGGTGTGGCTTAGCATCTGAAATAAATTCGTCATGTTATGTAATTAACCAGACCGCTATCTTTTGCTTTTTAACACTGACTAAGAACAGGGTCCATTCAATATCCAAGGCTTTTTTTGTTGTTGTTTTCAATATCTTTCACCTACCAGTTCCCTTGGAATTGACAGACCACAGCTGTTAGGACAGGTGACCGGGTACTTCAAGCACGTCCCAATATGATCCTGAAAGATATAAGTTTAACAACTAATAAGTTTAACATAATAACCCTCAGCTATTACGTGTGCTGTGATTGCCCAAACCAAGCGTGCCTATCCTACATGGCTGAGCACTAATACGACATACTGAGTGTGGCTTAGTACAGTGTTCACATTCAGCGGTCCTCCGCAAAAACGTCACGATTATGAGTTCTTTCTGTTGGATGGTCTCATGTCAGTGTTCGTAAGGACAAGTGATGTCTTTGAAAAGACAGGCTTTCAGGTGAGTCTGTCCTAGGAACATGAAAGATATTTCACAACGCTAAGATCAATGTGGTTCTGCTTTTACCCGTTGGTTCCTCAGTTCCCCAGTCCATTGGCAGTCGTCACAAGGACATTTAACGGCAAAGAAAAGTATTTGGCGTTCTACTGCTTTATCGGCGAAGACATCCGGCTAAAAGAGAAACCAGACATGAAATGATAGTTGATGTCTCAAAATAAGACTTTTGTTAACCTCGAGGACAGTAAAAATATCTAACGTACTCGTCATGCTTTTTTCACTCTGAAATGGAACAGTCGATGGTAGCTGTTACTCGAATTGCGTAGTAGAGATGTCAGCATCCCTCTATTTAATTCCATGATGCTCTTTGTCCCAAGAGAACTGGGGACGAGAGACAACTATGGGCTTCAGCAGTTAGTGCTAGAATGACCTGTGCCCGACAATGTAGGGGGTAACGTCTTTGACGTAGATTCATCTTTTTCCATAGAAAGATTTAATTTTTTGCAGCCCAAAATAAGTTCAAGCTATTCTGTGCTATTTTTTGAGGACCGATAAACTAAACTCTCTATAAAAAAGAACTTAGGATTTAAGCGTAGCTTTGATGTGGACACTTCTGTCGGTCAAAGGAAACGTTAGTTAGCACATTTACCTTGTCTCTGTCTAAAACGTCTCTATCCACGGGGCAGGTTGAAGGCTGGCCATCGTTCTCCAGCCTGTTAACAAGATTTTAGCTAATTAGAAGTGTTATTCCTCGACTTGGTTGACGTCGAAAAGTCGCGTGACCAAGTCGACGGGGACTTTGTGACACTGAATGTTTACTTCGCCGACCGTGATCAATTCTCCTCAGTAGATTGTGGTCACGCAACTAGTTTAGCTCTTTAGTTATTTTGGGCGACCAGCAACTGTACGTATTTTAATTTATTTCTGGTTTAACTTGTAGTTAAGGTAATGTACAGCTCAAAATAAACCTTGTTGTTGTTGTTGTATAATAATATAACAGCACGTAGCAATGCTAAAGTAATGGCCACAAGATTTTGCGGCGGGGAAGCATGAAAGCCGATGATCTACTTCGTAACGAAACAAACTGAGAAAATACCTCGCATTTCCTATAAAACTTCTCAACTGTTAGGCATTTGTGGCTGCAACGTCAAAGAAGGAATCGCTCAGCAAATAAAATCGTTTAAAGCTTTCTGCTCATTGCTCAATATTATTAGTTTGCTAGCCAACTGAAAGGTATCTGTTTTGAGTCAGCATTTCTAATGACAATTTCCGTTCACATGAACACCATTAAGCGTCACTTTGTAATTCTGTTGTAAAAGTCACAAGAGCGTGTGAAAGGGTGGGGGAAGCGAGCAAGCAAATACCCAATTACATGTTTAGTCGAATTTCAAACATACTCCGCATAGAGTTCGAAACTTTTAAACTTTGAAAATGGGTAGACATATTGGTATATTGCTTAAATAATGTTTTTAGTCGCGTAAGCAGTTCTGATCTGCATAGCAAATGCAAATCAGAGCTGCTTACGCGACTCAAAACATTATCGTTGTGGCTGAACAGAGTTAATAGAGGGTACCTCTATTAACTCTGGGCTGAATGACCGGCAGCCGGTAAAGGTTTTCAAATCAGTAAATGTCCGGCAGTCTGATATTTTGCTCAAATTTAAGGAATCGAGGAAACTCATCCAATTCAAACTATCATATATCGATTAAGGCCTGCCAAACGATCCAGGAAAGCATTAAAGATCACGAGTCTATCGCTTGGTTTACGCTCGGCTCGGAGAGTGAAAGCAGGGTTTGTGACACTGACTTATTTTAGGTCGATTACCGGTCACGGTTTACAAATCACAAAATGACCGGCATTACGATACTATTCTCATATCTAAGGGATCGAACCGGTCTTATCCAAACTATGATACGTCGAATAAGAATTACAAAGCTCGCTCGGACGAATTAACAAGAAGTGTGCTTTTCTTCTTTATTTTCCTCTGGAGAGCTACTATAGCAACGCTCTATGCATCTGATAATCGTCGTCTAACGTGAGGAACCAACGCTTTAAGTAGGAAAACCGTAGACATGTTTGGCTTGGCTGACCGTGAGAGTTACCACAGTGTATCTGTTTAATTTGTGAAAAGGAGGAAACTGGTTGGCTCTCACCAAAGCACTTGCCGAGCGCCAAGGAACCAATTCAACGCGGCCCACAGGAAGTAAGCACAGAAACGGGAACTTCAGTGTGGGTAGAACTCAAGGTCAGCTTTACCAACCCAAACATGACCACCTATGAAACTAATTATTCTCAACCATAACAAGCCATTAAAATGTCTAACACGGTAAGAAGGAAATCCGCGAACTGAGCCAAGTTCAAGCACACACTAAAAATAAAAGATCTAAACTATATATCTACCTAAATAACACGTAGGCGCAAAAAGGCGAGACTCGACAAAACAAAAGGCTTAGCTAGAAAAGACTCAAAATAACAACTTCCAATTTTACCTCACAACACAAGTCTAACTCTTGTGTCACAAGATGATTTACAGTTAATTACATGAAAAATATGAAATGATTGCAAATAAGATTTAAAGGCAACTAGCCCCAGAAAAACCTCAAGAAACTTCTACCATTGTCAAATATCAAACCGTTTCCAAAAAAATCAAGTAGTCTACTAACTGAATATATATCATCAGTACTTCTTGCACGCTGGATACTCGTCAGCCGACAAAATGTAAAAGAGATTGTAATATATGATCGGTAAGTTCGATTTACTAAACTCGGCCTGGCGGCCATTTAGTGATTTGAAAACTGTGACCGACAGTCGACCAGGCTAAAAAAAATCCAAGTGTCATGTCACAAACCATGATTTAGCTCTCTGAGCCAAGCGAAACCAAGCGAAGACTTGCGATCTTTAAAGCTTTCCTGGATCGCTTGGCAGTTCTTAATCGACATGTGATGGTTTGATGTGTTTCTTCGATTCCTTAAATTTGAGCAAAATATCCGAGTGCCGGTCATTTTAGTGATTTAGTCGACCTAAAAATAAATCGAAGTGTCACAAACTATGGTTTCGCTCTCTGAGCCGAGCGTAAACCAAGCGCTACACTTGCGATCTTTAAAGCTTTCCTTATAGGTTGCCTCAAAATGCAGCCACTCTAAAAGTCGACAAAAAGCCTCATGAGAGTCGGGTGTTCACATCGGCTGTCAGAGTAAACATACCTCATTTATATCAATTTGTGTTGGACAAATTACTCAGATGGCCCCAAAACCGTAAAGCTAGTTTTGAGGTTTGTTCGATAAGCTGAGTATAATAAGTGGCTATCCATGTGATTGAATGTCGAACTACCGTGACCAGTTTTAGACTGTTAGCAATCAACGTTCTGCGGATATTATTATAAACCAGCGAGCGAAATTCACCATAAGATGACGCACCTTCTGAAATGTTCCTCGAGACATCCCTTACAGAATCTATGACCACATTTTGCTTGAAGTGGGTCCCCAAGTGGCAGATGACAAATTTCACAAAGGTAATCTTCTTCGACTCTTTCCAAAAAGTCCTCGTCATAACCCGTAGGGTTCTCATTTCCCAGAGTTTCCGCCATTTGGAAAGACGAATCAAAAGTGAACACCTTGTCTTGTCACTCATAATTAAACATGCAAACCCATTGACAGTAGTTAGGATTGTGTGACTGCATGTGCCAAACCGTCTTTGACCTGGTTTTGCACTTGAGACAGAGGAGTTGATGAATAAGCGTTACTGGCCGCGCATGAGGTCAGAATCACAGGAAGGCTGAATATTGAAATTCAAAGGGGCAGTGCAAGTCAGCGAAGTAGTTGGTAGACGAAACTGCAGAATCGGGAGACTCGACTTTTGGTTGGAGATACATTTTAAAGTGCTGATATTGTTTAAAACCAAAATAAGAATTGACGTAAGCGTACTTAATCATCTGACCAGAACTTTTGCGATGCATATAAGGTCTCAATGTCATTTACAGTTTCCTTTTTTACTAAAACAAACTTAAGACAAAAACCAGGGCGCATGTAACGCATTATTTACCATATTCCCTGAAAACATCTGAATCTGTTGCAATTTTCAAGAACAACCTTAAAATATACTTGTTCAAAAACGCTTTTTAATTTACGATTTTTTATAATTTAATTGCTAAGTTAATTAGTCTATAATTTTGTAAAGCGCTACGGAGAACTAGTCGAGCTTTGCGCTATATAAATGCTTTTTATTATTATTATTATTATTATTATTATCGAGCGCCAAGACAAAGCCTTACATCATCGATAAGTCATCCCACGCCATGGTTAAACTGACAGATAGGAATGACAAATGTAAACTAGGAAGGTCGCCAACATAGAGATGAGAACCCATTCAGCAGTTGATGATCTCTACCTACACCAAAAAAAATTGAAAGAAATCAATCATTTTTTGAACTGCGTATGAAATTCCAGGAAACAACTGATTCTTACGTGTGAGCTGCGATATGAATAACTGCAGAAAAGGAGCCACGCACAGTTCAGTCTTCGAGGGGATTCGAACCCATACCTCCAAGGTGCTACTCAGGCGCTCCTACCAACTGAGCTACGAAGCCATAAGTTGGGGTAAATGCTAAGACATAAACTTGAGAGCTGATTAACCAAGATTCAATGCTTATCGGGGTCTATGCAGTAGGTACAGAGTACAAAATCTTAATCCTGGTAACAAAAACATAACTGACCCCGTGACGGTCCAAATTTAGATGAAAAGGTCAAATTTACGTATATTATAACCCAACTCAGCTTCAAGAGCTTGACATGGCAGAATCCATGGTAAATGAACAGCACCCGCCATCGGGCTATGAGGACATCTTTGTAGACGCTGTTGATCAAGATTGCCAATGCCTGATATGTCATTTACCGCTTAGAGGGCCCTTTCAAACGAGATGTGGCCACAGATACTGCAAAGAATGCCTTTTCGAGCATATTAGAAGGTAAGAGTATATGATAAACAGCTTTCAGTGTTAGTCCGGCTTCATTGGCTAGTATAATCTGTTTCTCCTGCATCTACGAAATTTTATTTATATATTCTCAAGAAGGGAATTTCATCAATAGGAAAGTCGAGGTCTACAGGGTAAGAGGACATTAGTCATTTGTCATAAATATCATTTATAAGAATAATGGCCACAACAATAGCGGCAATTCACTGAAAGATGCAATATCAAATTCCTACATTTAGCTGCTCGCTTATAGTCTGACTCAGTTCAGAGGACATACGGTTGGCCATCTCGACAACTTAGCAGTGTCCATAACTGACTTGTCCTAAAATCGAAAGAGTCTTAAAGAGAGAGCGGAAATCAATCACTGGTCACGCACTGCAAGAGTGATCTTTCTCAATTTAGAAATCGTTTAGTCGTAAGCTGATCAAATATCGTGTTGTAAAGATGATCTCGACGTGTCTCAGTACTGCCGAGACTTCTTTGTTGTTCACAGTTTTAATTGGCGTTAATAGGTCAGCCACTAAACTTCAGGAAAACAACAACTATTCTGATGTATCTCGTAAATAGTGTCCACTTGATTCAAATTACGTTCTCGCTCGGAAAATCTATGTGTAGCTGACGAAGTTGATATTCAGCTATCATTGACATAATTCCTGATGTTGTTGACATTGTTACTGTGCTGACCTCAAATTACTCACGGAAGATCAAGAGAGAGGAAGTTCCCCAGAAAATATAGCATTAGGGGTGTTGGTGGAGACGGGATGTGAAAAGATTTGTGGTGTATGCACAAACCTTCATAAATGTTTATGGAAGATTGATCCTATTATTTCGCTGGCAGTATACACCTGTATATGTATATGAAGCGAATCCTGTGTTCTGATGTTTGGCGCAGGAAAAAAAAAATACTTGGATTGGACAAACAAAGTTCGCAATTTTGAGACAACATAGGCGATAAAGTTCCAAAAGGCGGAACAATCCAAACAAAGAAAACATTAACGACTCCGTAGGTTTATTGTGCATCAAAAAAATAGTTGGCTTTCTTTACCGTCTCTCAAAAAACAAATCCTTAAATAAAGCGAGGATCTTTTTTGCCACATAATAACCCTTCATTGACCAAGTTTATTCAGTTGAAATGGCTAGTATTCGCCTTCTTTATTAATTTCGTTTTAAGGGACCTCGACTTCGTCTTAGTCCATAACTGAGATTCAGAAAGAACTCTTTCAAACTCTGGCCATCTTGACCTCACGCTTGGTCAATAACGCACATGTATTATGACTCTTAATGGTTGAGTTTTCTCCTAGGCAGCGGAGTCAAGGACAGTTTTTAACTTGTCCATTCGACAGGCAGGATCTGGATCCAGTCCGGGTACAATCAGTAATAACAATATAATATTATTAATGATAAGGATAATAATGATATACCACTGTTATTTCTGAAACGTTGTAATTGGTTTTCATAGCTGAGTGCTGATGAAACTCTTAACAAGATTTAAAAATTTTGATCTCAAATATAACTTAGTTTACCATGTCTACATTAATTTTTTTCATCTATCTATGTATATGTTTTAAACAATTAAGACACTCGAATTCGTAAGCTCTTAATTAGCAGAAATAACAGTCACTTTGTCAATCAATCGAAGCTTCACCTTTTGATTTACTTCAAAACTTGGTTCATTCACTGAACATTAACGTAAAACTAGGGTTATCGTGTTTATGTTTTAGGACGTTTTCCCTGATACAGCAACAGAAAGGAAGATACTTACCCTCGCAATCAGATGTCCTCGTGAAGGTTGTGAATGGACTGGCGAACTGAGGAACAAGGAGGTGAAAACTAACGCAAATTTAAGCTCCATGTTAATGAAGATCCTTACCACCTTAATTCTTTTCCGTAAAAATTGATAAGGTAAGACTGCAGCTCCTATTGACCACTTTCATAAATGGCTGCCGGATTGATATCCCTTTGTTTAAATTTGAATTAACCTTTCTGGCCTCGTTCTCCAGTTCAAAATTCAAAAGAATGCATTATCTCAAGCGAGGCTAGTGAGGCTAATTTGAATTTAAACAAAAGAATATCAATCCGGCAGCCATTTATGAAAGTGGTGTATATAAGGGCATTGTACATTAGACATGCGGCTGTTAAGGAAACGTGAGGCGTGAGTAGTCCACTGGTCAGTGCGCTGGACTCTGGGTCAGTTGGCCCGGGTTCAAGTCCTTGCTGGGGGCATGACGTTGTGTCCTTAAGCAAGACGCTTCACTCACATTGTTTCGTCTTCTCGGATAAGACGTAGAGCCGTAGGTCCCGTCTCCTGCAAGGTTAGGGGTAGGAGACGTAAATTTCCCATGCACGAGATTACTGTGTAGTGGATGTCCTCCCCGGGGTGGGATGGTTGGGAAGGTGAGATCGCTACGTGGACTGAAGCGGCTGCCTGATAAAAATGCTGACGTCCAATCTTAACCTTTACGATACTGTTAAGCGCGACTGAATATATCCATAAAGAAGTCTGCGCTATATAAATGTAAAATGTAATGTAATGTAATGTAATGCGTACTGCTGCTCTCTCCAGTCTCTTTGTTGCCCGTCACGCGTCACGCATGTTACCCGTCAGTCTTGGCAGGCTTGTTTTGACCTTCTGTTTTTCAGTTCGCCATTAAACTACACGTGCTTTTATTCGCGTTGTCTGCTGTCTCTGTTCACGGCCTATTACATCTTAAGCAGAAAACATCACAAAGCTTATACGTAAGCACAATGAGCGAAAGCTCACGCGAGTTCTCTTTTTCAGGAACATTTGACACAATGCGGAACTTGTCCTAACAATTGTGGTCATTCAGTTTCCAGGGAAACGGTAAGGCGTATGGTTTAACAGTGAACAGCTGTTTTCATTCTGAACTGGGCTTGTTCCAGTCTCCAAACAGCCTATTAAAGCTGAGATAGAAGGAGCGATTTTACTTCTTTTTGTATCTCTTTTGCATGTGTAAACATTCTTACAGAAAATATTTGAAGCTTATTTACTGGAAGGAAACGTGTTTTTATGATACTTTCTGCTTATAGCTTAGGAGCCACTTAGTAAAACTAGTTTTACTAACTTGCATAACCTTTTCATTCCTGCAAACTTATTGCACATTTCGTCTTGAAATTTGTGCGAGTTATCATACAAGAATTTCCTGTTATTCAGGTTTTGACTCACATCAGAGATGAATGTCCGCTAGCTGTGGTCTCCTGTCCATATACGCGCGTGGGCTGTGATACAGTGGTAAGTAAGTGACAGTGGAGAACAACTAGAACAGATTGACGAAATCGTTTTCAGAGTTTCCCTCTCTCTCTCTCTCTCTCTCTCTCTCTTCAGAGGCGGGAAAAAGAGAGATCCTAGTGTTGTTCCTTTTATTCAAATTCATCAACGGTCCAAATATGAGACTTCCTCTGATTGAAGGTATAACGACGCGTGTAGCTGCTACCTTTTTATCAACTAAGATAAGGAAATATTAAATGGGCACTCAAATAAGTCCCCCGATCAAGCGATATATACGTAAATTAAATTCAAGGATGCATATCACAATGCGGTTTTTTTTTAAGAAGTATTTGTCAAATACCACTCGTTTTCCCGCCCTTTTGTTGCTTTGCTGCTGAGGACTGCGGGCCTTGATACTATTTTTTTTCCTGTAGCGGCGCCGGCCATCTTAGTTTTATTATGCATTGAGCTCGAAGTAAATTATGGTTTTTGACGACTTCTTCTTGGTTATTCAACTATTATGGTATCCAGAACGTGGTCCATCGCTGGCCCGAATTAAAGTGTGCATCTTATCCCCTTCCTCTAATATAGGCACTCACTTGATAACTTCCACAGCTAAGGACAGGGGGCTGACAGAAACAACTAGAATAAAATCATACTTTGTACGCTTGAGACAACTGCACTTATTGTATAGCCTGGATCTCCAACAGCCTTGGTTCTTTACCTTATTCATCAGTTTGAAACTTAAAAAAGCTGAAGAAAAGAATTGGTAGAAGCAAGAACTTATGATAATAAACAGTGAATTTGAATGTCTTCCAGATTCAAAGACAAACTGTGGAACCTCACCTTCAGAATGGCCTGAACCTTCATTTGAACTTAGCATGCTTGAAGCTAAATGAGACAATAGTTGAGTTGGAGGAAACAAAGAGGCAGCTTCAAACGACAAGACTACAACTTGACAGAACAAAAGAAGAATTGGATAAAACAACATTCATCTGGAAGATTTCTGGTTTCAGTGGGATTTTCACTCAAGCAATAGCTTGACGGATTCAGTCTATAAATAGCATTCCATTCTACACGAAAAATGGAACAGGAGATTATGGCTACAGGCTTAAAGTTCGAATCCTTCCTAATGGCTCGACACCTAACCACCTGTCCGTATTCATTATTGTAATGAAAGGTGAATATGATGCAATATTACCCTGGCCTTTTCACAAGAGAGTAAATTTCACATTGATTGACCAGCAGCCAGATCTAAACCAACGAAGGAACGAGACTGCAGAACTCTTTGAACAAAATATTGCAAATTTTGAAAGGCCTGTCACAGAAGAAAACACCGGGAGGGGTATTTTAAATTTCATATCTCATGTAGCACTTTTTACCAGACGTTACATTGTGGATGACACTCTGTTTCTTCAGGTTGAAATTTTTTCGCCTTCTAATTGATTTCAAGTTCCAGCGTGTAACGACCGCCCAGCGGTCTATTGTAGCTTAGGGTTAACAGCGCATGCTTCCGTTTAGACAAAGAAACAATTAGCTCGTCTGTTTGATTTTCTGCTCTTAAAGCACGTATTCATTTAACCTCGAGGAGTAGTTTCCGCGCGTTCATATCGAACACAAGATAAATAAGATAAAGAATCCAAGAAAACAAGTAACAAGAGGCAAGTGCAGGACCGATATGTAAGTTAAGAAACTTCTTCTTTAGTTTTTAGTTTTCAATCGAGCTTAAGTATTTAGTCCTTGTTTTATTTTATTGTATAGAGTTGTTCTTCTTAGCCAAAGCTCACAAAGCGATATTCCGAAACAAGAGTAGAGTACCCTTAAGTTAGCATTGCCTTTTTTCCCCTTTGAGTACAGTTAGGTGTCAATGTAGCCTTCTGCTGCAAGAGCCTCGCTACTAGGCCATCGTTTCTCGTTTAGGTGTTTCATAGCCGATATTCTAGTAAGTTTCAGCGTTAAAGCTACTCGCGGGAAAACTGCCACGTGTTTTCTCTGATCTGTTGCCTACCTTTTAGTTTATAGCTTATATTTTATGTTAATCGAATCTCAGTTTACTGCTTTTAACGGTTAAACAACCTTGATGTCAAGGGAATAAAGAAGTTTATTCTACATCTGAGAGGTTTAATCGTGAGCCTGTAAGGTAGTCCTTCGATTTGTCGAAATCAAGACAGGCTACGACACCTCTTGAACCACTTGAGTGGCCCTCCGTTACACAGCGTTTAAGCTCATAAAAAAAGCAAAAATCAAAAATAGTTCATTGCCTTTATAATTAATTGATGACGTATCATATTCGTCCAGATATATGTTTCAGTATATGATTGTAGGTGGTGCGGCCGAATGGTTAGGTTGCTGGGCTTGTAATCAGCTGGTCACGGGTTCAAGCCCTTCACCCTGCAACTCACTGGGTGTTTTTCTCGTTTGTCCCTCTTCCTTGGTGTGTAACTAATTGGTCTGTCTCTAGCCAGTTGATAGTTTGATTATCATGCTTGCTCAAACCTTCTGTCTTCAATTTTTTCCGTAGTATTGACCCTGGAAAGCCTGAGTGGTCAGTTAAGTATAGCTACATATACAATGTACATGCCTGGATAGAAGGTATAAAATGGCCACCATACCAACAGCTCTCATTTAAAGGCTCAAGTGGACTTAGGTATCGTCTCCAAAATGTTTCATATGTGGATAGGGGAAAAGAGGATAAACTCTTGACCGATCAGGCGTTTAAATAATTAACGTATTTTCCTTCAGCCTTTTTCAGGTGGCCCAAACAAGTTCAATGTTAAAAAATAAAGGGTTTTACAAAGTTGACGTATATTCCAGGTATTCTAATTTACATTTGTTACACGTACATGTTCGTCTTGATCTTTTACAAAAGGCCTGGGACAAAGATCCTCAAACTAGTCGTTTGTAAAAAATTGTTTGCATAAGTCACATCTTATGGAGCAATTAAAACAACCAGTATATTTGAGGTTTTTGGTTCTACGATATGTCGCAGGAAATATCGATTTAGGAGGACAATTTTCCAAGAGCTCAGGCGAAGAAATTAACACTGCTGTGTATGTGTTTTTTCATAAGCATTTGAATATCTGGGAGGATTGGGGTGTAATCAAGCACTAACGGGAAGACTCTTCTGTCAGGCTTGACATTTTTCTTCAAGAGTTCGGATCTCTTGAAATTAAGGGCCTTACCAAATAGTTTGTCTACTAAATTGATATCCTAAACTTGCGATTTAAAGTACCCTTTGGATTCAGCCTTAGCAAGGGAGCAAATATGAAAATATGTCGGTCGCATCTGTTCATGCTTAGCCGTATGTTAAACTTCTCAGATTTATATACCACAATTTCTGTTATTGCTGTCGCATTAGATATGTTAATGCAGTCGCAGTAGATTTGTACAGCGGCCTTTAGTTTGAATTTCGTAACCAGTCTTCGCTCGGACAAGAGACACATGTTTTCACTGTTCGAGACAAGGTTGGACCTCGGCCAACCTAAACGAATTTCAAGACAGTATTATCGACGGTCACAATTTCCCCTGCGATTTCAATATTTACATGCGATTATAACTGCACGACTCGAGTGGCAAACTTCTGATTGGCAGAGATCATCACTGGCAACGTGCTCCCGCTCCCCATCCACACAAACACACACACATACACACACACACACACACACACACACACACACACACATTATCAAATATCATGAATAAAAAAAGGTTTATGTCATTTTGACGAAGAGTATTAAACCACGGGATATTTCAATTCAGCCTATGTAAACGTTTTCATAAATCGGGAGCACAAGGAAATCCGTTTTTTGTCCACATCGACAGGTTGATAAAACCATAGACATCTATTCCCTCCTTTGTGTGCTGTCTTTTATTGAACCATGTTAGCTTAGCTTTCATAGTTATAATCCTTGAAAGTGGGACATGAAATACTACAACTCGACTATTCTGGTAAGAGTGTGGCCTTTGATTTTCTAAGATGGTTGAAACCACTAATTAATATTCTGCTAAGCTAAGGTGTTGGCAGACCTGACTCCAAGAAGTGATATATATAAAAACTCAGATTTGCTAACCGGAAAGGTTAAAAGTTGGTCAAGAGGAGTACGTTAAAACTATTGCAATACAAGAGTAAAAATTGCGTTAATTCTAGTGGCAAGAGGATCATTAATAACTTCTTACATAAACAGTATGTATCAAAGGTCAAATCAACGTGTCCCTGCTTTTGCATTCCGAATAGTTTTTCAACATGGCGGAATTCAAAACAGATGAACACTGCCCTGTAGGCCTTGACGAGGAATTTGTGGAAGCCGTTGACGAGGATTTGCAATGTTTGATATGTCATTTGCCCCTAAAAGAGCCACTTCAAACCAGATGTGGCCACAGATATTGCAAAGATTGCCTTGAGGAGTACATCAGAAGGTAAAACTTTATGTTGAACAAAATCCTATTGAAGACTTGCATCATATTAGAAAACTTCATAGAATCTGTGGGTGACAAGTCAGTAATTATTAATTGAAGTAAAGTGTGTTATCTATAGCAAAAAGATATTTATCGATTATGTAGTCGGTATCACAAGTTAATGGTAATAGTCTAATCTAGCGATTTAGAACTAAGAGGGTTATTTCTGACGTGGTGCCGAATTTATGTTCTGAATCAGCCCATCCCGAAATATGCCTCTAAACATCCACGAGTGCGCGATATAAGACATCTTTCGCAGTATTTGGAAAATTTTTCCTTATCCAAAGGGACTCAGATGATAAATCTTAAAATCGAAAGCGGAAATCAATTTGACTGATTGAGCAATGTAAAGCGTCTTCGACCTCTATATTAAAATCATTCAGGTTAAACGACTAAGCCTAAGGCCCAGTTCAAACGTCGAATTTCACATGTGCCGAACTTAACTCCTACTTTAGTCGACTAAAATAGTTAAATACGGCATTTGATTCAAACGTCCAATTTAACTCTGTCGAATTTATCTCTGTTCGCTGTCAATATTCCTGCCGAGTTGTGGGTAATAAATGAATCATAATAATATCCTATAATTGATGCTAAGTTCGGCACATGTGAGATGCGACGTTTGATTCAAAAGTCGAACCGAAGTCGAATCTTCGACTGTTTCAGTCGCAGATACGGCGAACGTCGCATTTAATTTAAAGCATTCGAATTTAATTGATTCAAATGTCGCACTTCACCTGCATTTAACTCTCGCATTAAGTTCGGCTGTTGTTCAGAGATCGAATGACTCCTCCGTAATAAGTAGTGTATCGAGCTACTGGCACGATACTTTTGAGTGATATAAAGAAATCGTTGCCCATAGACAACAAGCTTTCTGTTTGGTTCATCGACCCAGACTAAAATTTTCTTCGTTCTATCATCATCACAGCGCCACACCACAAAATACTCTGACATTCATTTGCATTGCGTCGAATAAAAATATAGTGATATGTGAAATGCCTCGTGAGATAAATGTAAACAAACTACATGTATGTCACTTCCCCCGGCAAAATTCATGACAAACGGCCATTTGGGAATGGGGAGTGTTTGCAATTGATCCAGAATCTTTCTTTACATGTTTATCTTCCGAAAGGTTTTTCTATGTAACGTGAATTTTTTTTTGGAATTTGATTGTGCAACTTTGTTGTTGAATATTCCTTCTTTATATTCTCTTTCAAAAGCATTATTTCTCTATGAATCCTTCATAATCCCCTTGTTCAAGTTCTTCAATGTATTTTATTTTTGGCTTTGTTTATAACAGAATTGCTTTCAAATTAAGTTGCTTCGGTTTAACAAGGAGAAAGCACCAATTATAATAATGATAATAATATTAATAATAAATGACAATTTATATAGCTCCCTGTCCAAGAGCTCTAAGGCGCTTCATCATCAAGGTAAAACGTAAAATTAATAATCAAACATAATCATTCATTAAAATAACGCTTAAAAAGATAAGTTTTAAGATGACCCTTAAACGCTTTAAGATCTACACTACATTTTATGGTTTCAGGAATGACATGACTCGATGATCGTAAAGACCTAGTAGGCTTATAAGTTTCTAACAAGTCACTGATATAACTATGGCATAAATCATTTAAAATGCAACAATAATTGGAGTGTTGAGTTACAGGTGCTGAGGGGAATATTTGCAGCAGAGATTGAGGTTGGAAAGCTTACTGAAAATAAAACCCCAAGTATTGTTGTCATTCTTTGAGTTGTGGTGTTGACATTGTCTATTTATTCCTTTAAATCCAGTTGCAGCCATAGCTAAGCAGAAGATATAACACGTAAACCTTGAGTATACCATATTGGTATACCAGCAGAAAATTTTCTGCAGCTGCACGAAGTAGAGATAGAAGAGTTTTAACTATCTAAAATTTTCCTCCCACCACCAACAGGCATCGAAGCAAAGGCCAGTCTTTAACTTGTCCGGCAGACGGGCACAACCTGGATGAAGACCGGGTAAATACCTCCTTAAGCTGAAGTTCATAACACTAACTGCCTCGTATAGCTTTTTATTATCCAACTGTGCTTCGCTAAGTACAAATAACACGAGAGACGAGTACAAATATCACACGATATTTGTACTCCTACAAATATCACACGATATTTGTACTCCAGAAATATCCGCGAAATTCCCCCGCACTGAGATAACAAGTTGGCGTGTTGGATAATAAATCTCCTGCTACACCTTTTGTTGTGTAGTATTGGTCAGTATTTTTACTCGGCGTTTGTATTTTGACTCGCCTTCCAGGCTCGTCAAAATACGGCACAAGTCGTAAAAATACTCAGCAACACTACACAACAAAAAGTCTGATAAGATACATGTAGTTCAACAATAACTTGTTAATCTGGGATCTGATCCAAGTTATGAGTCGATGAAAACGTACAAGAGCTATGAATGTATGAATGTTGAACAGGATTTAAATCATTGTGAGGTAGTAGATTTCTGAAATAGTGGATGTCTTGTCTGTGATTTCAAATTAACATATTTTCACATCTTCCCACATGACAGGACAGTCCTCTCATTCAAAAATTCAACACGTGATGTTTTGTGTTTATAGTTCTAATTGTAAATGCACTTGATAAGTCACGCGTGTAAGCTTGTAATATTTGGTGATGACCATAGCGGAACCTCTTGTTTGTTTTACACTTCACGTGGTTGGAGATCTTGTAAAATATCATTGTCGTGATATATGTTGCAGGATGTTTTCCCCGACAAAGCTACAGAAAGAAAAATTCTTTCATTGGTTATCAAGTGCCCTAGTGACGGCTGTGGATGGACAGGCGAACTGAGGAACAAAGAGTTAACTTGACTCATAAAAGTTACAGTAATTTTCGATAAACATTCTTCTCAAAATTATATTTCCCATAGCAGTCCCTCTGGTTCACCAATGGCTCTAACATGTTGTCGATTAGAGCGACACAGGTTAGCGGAACTGTTTTACTGATTTGTTCAGATTAAAACAAAAGAATTGTCTTGCTTCAAATCCTCTGCAACTTAAAATGGACAGAGTTTAAATTTTCTCTTCAATCCCAAGGCCTTACCCGAGGAGAAAGGGAAAAGGTGTTATCTTGCTTGATAACTTAGAAATCCAATGTAGAAGACTTAGGGGTTAAAAATTCAAAACATTTCGAGGGGGAGTAAGTCCCTGGAAATCCCTAACTGAAGGACTTGCCTGTGAGTGCCTTATGTTTCAGAATTGTGTGGCTATTTATCCGTTGTCTACCCACTGTAGTGGGGCTTTGCTATGAAACAAATTAGATTATGGAAACCGCCTTCTTTGGTTGTATTTATTTGTTGAATAGGTTCACTTAGAATCTTGCTCTTTCATGCTCTTGGTGTGTGTCAACTTTTCCTGTGGAGCGAAAGTGCAAAGAAGACATCTTGAACAACACCAACTTTTTGAGTGTCCTTGGAGAATCTTTAACTGTGAATACTGCAGCGAGCCCCACCCTGAGTGTCAAATGCAGGTAAAGTCCTCAATATTTAACGGCGAAAAACTCTCAAAAACAATACACCCTTTGTCTTCCAACATTTCCTTTAGATCAAATGAAATTTTGTGAATACAAGACTAAAACTAAATTGGGACTGAACTATAAGTAAAGTATGTGCCTTGGAATGAAAAAAAAAAACGCTTAAATAAATGAGTATTTCCAGATTCCTAGATGCAATTCGTGGAATTTTTCATTTTAAGGATCATATCAAAGAGTGCAGCAGGTTCCCTGTAACTTGTCCAAACAGCTGTGGTCGTTCAATTCCTAGAGAAATGGTGAGACTCCTTATTTCGTCTGCATACTCTGTTTGAATACGTATTCTTATTCATAATATTAATTATCCCTCCCTCCCTTTCTCCCGTAGTTTAAACCCTCATACATGCCATCTAGGCAGTAATCACCAAATCACTGAGACCATCAAAACATTTGTCAGATTGATTTTCACTCATTACAATGAATAACGCTGTCTATTATTTAACTTTTCGAGGGTTGATCAGACAGCGATGGATATCACCATGCCAACGAGTAATTGACTGATATTTTACATATCAGAAACAATAACCAGAACCATTTATCTCAATTGATTTAGTTGATCAAACTACCGTAATGGTATATCATTAAGCGACCTATAACCAAAATTTTACTTCGGAGACAGTCTAAGAAGTAATCAAGAGCATGTGAGCCAAAGGAAAAATTTTCCTTCAGCTTCAAAAGACTGAAACAGTCGACATTGCCGATCCTAGCAGTATGCAGGACGCGTGTCATACATAAACTTCGTAACAGGCCTTGCTCATCGTGGAGTTTATGTGGCTCATTGGCAAAGAATCGGAGCGTGGAATCCGAAGGTCTAAGGTTCGATTCCTTCAGAATTTTTTCTGTCCCACGCTCATGACAAGACGAAATACATTTTAATTTAATTTATTCCATTATCACTGAATTAATATGCAGTGGGGAATGACTACAAGGAAACATACGAACCATTCGAGCTAGTCCACCTTCCCAGCCATCCCACCCCAGGGGAGGACATCCAACACGCAGTAATCTCGTGTGTGAGAAATTAGCGTCTCCTATCCCAACCCTCTATTTATTCGTCCCTATCTGAGAAGACTAGAATATCTAACCATTTCTTGATGTTATGGAAAGGTAGCAAATTTTTCTCTTTAAGCTCGGTTCATCTTCATATGAACCGAGCTCAAAACTTACCATCTTTCTATTTACAATTCTAAAATAGAACGATTTACGTGTTGTTTATCAATGTTTTAGTATCTTCAATATGAATTTGATCATTACATGCCACAAGTCAGTCAAAGTGCTACAAACTACCATTTCAAATTGGGCCTATTTGATTTGGAAAATAAATCAAGTTGGTTTCAGCGCTTTAAAATGGCCAACCTTTTTCTAACAATTCCGCCTCTCTATAGTTTATCCATTTCTATACACTTCAATAAAACAACCAAACTTATCTACAGGTGCAGATTCGGCTTAAGACTTCGTGGCCCTTCCTTTTGTCTATCAATTGGAGGGTAAGCGTAACTGAACCAAAAAACAGACGTGTGCAACGAATATCTTATCACTTTCGTTCGTGTGCTTCAGGTTTCAACTCACACTGAAGACGAATGTCCGCTGACTGTAATTTCCTGTCCTTATGCACGTATGGGCTGTAAAACAAAGGTGAGCCTGAGCTACGTAGTAGACGCTAAAAGGAACATATTGCGTGGCTTTTCCTGAGATAATTGAAATAACCAAGAAGTACATAAAAATTCAGCAATGCATACATGTATGCATACAACTGCTTTATCGTCAAATGTTCCCAAAGTGCTACTGTATAAATCTACGCAAAAACAGATAAATTTTCCCGCTGCTTCCTTTTAATTTATCGGTCCTGTTTTGTTTTTTTGGTTTTTTTTTTTTTTTTTGGTTTTTTTCGCTTTTTGTTTTTTCCTGTCTTGTGAAAGTTGCCGCATAAAGGCTGACAGAGGAAAATTGCCGTGATCTTGGGTTTCAGAGACTTGGAGTGGAAACGATTGAAACTTACCTCGAAAAATGGAAACTCTTGTTTTCCCCGGCGGCTCTCAAGACTTAATGTAGAAATCCATATTTCACTGTACATAGTTAAACGAGTCCCTCTATTCTCTTTTATCTGCTTGAAAATGTAACTAAAGAATGGTTTCAGTATTTGACCAAACTCACCTAATGACTCTCTTGGAATTTGATTTCCAAGGGACGTATCGAAGACGCTGTGTACTAACTCTGCCATTGACCGTGAAAATTAAAATAACTTTAGTTATCTGTGCAAGAGGTTATAATATAAGAGGCTTCATTTATTCTTGTAGATTCAACGACAAGCAGTGGAATCTCATCTAGAATCTTCCACAAGAGTCCATCTTGATTTAGTTAGTGTCAAGTTGCATGAAACCGAAGTGAAGTTAGGTGATACAGAAATCAAGCTGGATAACACAGAAACTTTATTGTATAAGACGAAGTCGGAGCTGAAGGATGCCATGGAATCATTGCACACAACAACATATATTTGGAAGATTGACGGTTACAGTGAAGTTCTGAGACAAGCAAAGACCGAAGGAAAAAAAGCATTACACAGTGATCCATTCTACACAAAAACTGAAAAAGATAGTAATGGCTATAAGGTAAAAGTAGTTATTTATCCTAATGGTGATGGAACTGGCAAAGGTACTCACCTGTCTGTATTTATCGAAGTTATAAAAGGTGCATATGACGCCATATTACCCTGGCCCATTAAGAAGAAAGTGAAGTTAGAATTGGTAGATCAACAAGAAGATCTTCCCCAGCGAGAAAATGTTATTGGGGAGATCAGAGACATATTTAGTAACCAATCCCTTTCCAGGCCTACGGGATAAGAAAACCCAGGAAAGGGTTTTGGAAAGTTTGTAAGTCATACGAAACTAAATACAAGGCAATACATTGTGGATGACACTCTATTTCTTCGGGTTACGATCAGCCCATCCATAAACTCTTTATTCGGTAAAATGGCTTAACTCCTTAGCATATTAATAAACTTCAATTGGAGGTACCTACTTCACCCGAGAGTGCTCCACGGGAGAAAAGAATCTATTAACAACGCATAAGGTACATCAGTTCTCAAACATACCTTTTACATTTTCCCATGGATATTCAGTTCAAACTGCTCCAGTATGCATGTTGATTTTATTATGTTAAGTTCAACCCGTTTGCTATCTCCAATTGCTATCAATCAAAATACCCTGCTGAAAGAATTCTGATTCAAGGCGAAAACGATTAACCTATTTTCCAAGAGGGCGCAAGCATCTTTTTGTGCGAGAAATGAAATGTTGAATCGAAAATAAAGTTTGTGTAGAAATCTGTTGAAACATCGCACATTGTTGTAACATTTTGAGGCGATATAAACATTTTATGAAGTTGGGGAGTCACTGGCCCCATTTCTGTGGACGATATATAAATAAAGATATAAAAAACACTAACAAAAACGTTCGATTCCCTGTCATTTGCCAACACCCTTGCAAATAAAACTCTGGACAAAAGAAGATTGTGTAATTAGTTTTTGCTTAGTTGTTTTTTTTTTCTTAATTTTTTCAAAATTGTTAACTAAAAAGGTTGGCATCACCGTATTTGCATCCGAGAAACTGAAATTTTTCATCCCTGGCGATGCGCGATAGTCCATCTTGGTGATCTGCCTTGCGAAGGATCTTTGACACTTCTATACACTTACCTTGGACTAGAATTCGTCACAACTAGTGTTTATCTTTACTCAGCTGTAACTTTCATTGCCCTAAATTGTAACGAAACAAATGCTGTTAAAACGGGTAAGAGAAGGCCAGTGTTTGAAAAAAAATTGTCTAACATAAAACAATTAAAAATTTGAAAATTAAAATAAAAGTATCTGACGTTTCTGTCGTTATCTAAATCAAGTTAGGAAGAAGAGATAGAAAGGTTTACACACAAGCAATGAACTTTACGTGAATTTATCGATAAATGCCAAAAGAGAACAGTGGGATAAACATCTAACTGCAGATTGAAATCGTTAAATCTATAGTTGGACCAGTTAGAAGTTTATAGTACAATTTATTTATTCGTTCATGAATTGAGTGATTGATTGATTGATGGATTTTCTTTCATCTTAAATTTTTCCACTTAATTTTTTCTTTATCCATTTCACGCGATATGAAGCACTTTCCGTATGATGCACACGCATGCACAATCGCCTTGCTGAACAATTTCTTTCAAGATTAGCGAACTTGAAGGTAGTGTCATGAATATACGCATTCAGTCTTGGTGCTGAACGACTTTTTCGCTTGAAGCTCAAAGTTCCCTATTCACAGAAGGCGTTAATGAAAAATACAAGGTTATAACCATCAGCAGTAAGAAGTGATTGAAACGATTTTTCATCTCCGGTTATCTTAAGATATAATTAAAGACTTCCTTAAGTGAATTTTTATACCTGACATCATTAATAGAAAGTGACAGTTACCCTCAAGATTGACAATGTGTCTCATTTGTCTCAGGTCTAAATGACATGGAGGCGCCAGTTTAAACGGTATCTGCCAGAGACATAAATCAAATTTTAAAGGACCATTAAAGTTGCCAATTCTATTATTATCTTGCTCCCATCTTGAGAAAAAAAAAAAAGGAAAAAAAAGCCGTTTTATCTTTCAGCAAGAGATTATGTTTTGCTTTCAATTAGTCTACCAACAAAAGTATAAAGTTTCAACGCAAAGTGATTTTTTTCCCAGTTCAAGATAGCGTTTTCTTTCCAGAACTCTAAACCGCAAGAGCCTAACAAATCTCATTTGATACGAAGGAAAAAGTCAAACTCCTTTTTCCTGCTTTTGTCGATATTTTTTGGAAATGTAAAATTTGCGAAAAACGTTTTTAAAATGTGACTGGTTCGTTTTCTTGGCTCGGGAGTACATTATAGGACGGAAAATGCTTTTTTAGATTCAAATAAGTCGAACGACAAGCACAAGAGCACTTCATTCACAAGTTTAATCTAAACACGGCAAAAAATAAATTAATTTTGAGGCTACATTACCGGCCTAATTCAGAGTATATTTGTATATAGGAGAAATATCAGAATTCCACATGCAGTACCCCTGGTGAATTACAGTGTGAAGCGTTTTCCTGCAAGGCAATAATTAGAACCGAACACCGTGCTCTATGAAATTCCAAAAAAAAGCTTGATACTCTCCTGAAGTCCGCAGAGAAAAACTGGGCCTTTCAATTTGTGTAAAAGATAAACAAGAAATCGATGAACTGCATTGATATCCAAAAAGAGCGACAGAAAAACAGACACCCACGCAAACGATAACTGAGTCAAACCCCATCTGATATAGAGAGCACCGTCATGTTTCACCGTTTTATACGCCGTTGTTTCGTCATTTTATTCGGAGTACCGTTGTCTTTTTTGGGACGTAATGATGGAACGTACGCGTCTTCTCCAAGAGGTAAGATTCTTTCTGCCTTTACACAAATCGTAATAGAATTATGTCTTACGTTTAAGAGAACACTGATAGTCGCCATCCTAACCGCCTCCCGGTTAGCTCAATTGGTCAAGCGCCGGACTGTTGTGCGGGAGGTCGAGGGTTNCGACGACGGCGACGGCAACGAGAACGGCAGAAAACAATAGGCTCAATGAGCAAAAACAATCGCCCTGCACGTGCGTTTAACATTTTGTTACATTTTTTTGCCGTTCTCGCCAAAACAACAATGTGAAACAACCAAACCTTAGGTTTTCTCGAGAACGTGAGCGCATGACGGTTAATTTTTCTCTCTTTCTCCTTACTTTAACGCCTTTCGTAGTGATATAGTCCCTGAATAGTTCGCCAGCATTTTCCAAGTGAAACACATCGGAATAAGCTCGAAAGAGTTACAAAAACGAAAAGTTAGATTTCGACACGACGTTTTCATTGCCGTCGCTGTCGTCGTTGCTAAAGCTCCCTAATTTTGGTTAGGCAGGGGACGTTAAAGAACCCACTTCACGAGATTACTGTGATGTGGTCTGGCCTGTTTACTGGGAATTGGGGGAGGGAGCATCTGTTATATTCGCCTTTATTTGATTGTAAACTCCTTGGCAGTTTGGTAAAGTCCCCCGTACAGTGTTGTAAAGCGCCATGAATTTAAGATATGAGCGCTATATAAATAAAAGTTATTATTATTATTATTATTATTATTATTATTATTATCAGTGTCACAAACATACACACAAAATATTATCTCCTGAATAAAGCCAATGAATGGTAGCCTCAAAAGCGGGAAGAGCTTGGAAGTTATTTTGCCAAATCTCGAAAAGACGTCTAAAAGTGCTTTTTCCTGTTTCCTTGCAGGAACAACAGGTTTGGAACACAAGTCCAACGTTTCATCCCAGACTTTCAGACAAAGTCTTTTATCAATAGATGAATACTTTTACCTCACTGCCCCTAAAGTTGGAACGTTCGCGGCGTTCGATGACTACGAATGCATCATTTTATGCCTGAGGAATCCTTTATGCTGGTCTGTAAACTTGGCGGTGGCAAAGAGACAAGGTGGAAAGATTTGGTGTGAGTTGCTGTCCTCTCAGAAGTATACCATTCCTGAGGAATACAGGGAAAATAGGACTTCACATCACGTTTCCATCAAGGTGGGGATTGCTATTTATATCAACATAGACTTGACTTTTTTCTATACACGCTATCATGATGCAGTGTAGTTTCTTACTTTGAAGTCAAGTTGTCCAGTAATGAATAGTGATACCTCTTTTTTTGGCCGTAAAGGTGGAGAAGTGTCTCATATCTATTTAACCCATGAGTACAAAATGTGTCACGATTCTTTCTCCTTCTTTCGGCAGTTGCCTTGTTTTTCCTCTCCATGCATTAACGGTGGTAGTTGTGTGACAAGCTATATACACTACTCGTTTAAATGTGTCTGTACAAACGACTTCATTGGAAAATATTGCGAGAAAGGTATGAATACTCTTTTAATCTGTTATGATTAAAATTTTTTTTTATTATCATACAAAACCATTGATCAAAAGAAGTCCACAACTCTGAGGGTACTGATCGGGATGCAAGTGACAACCCCCAACCCCCGCAGAATGATTATTTACAAAAAATAATGCTACCAGGCTCCCTCCAAATACCAAATATGTGCTTGAGTAAGAGTTCCCAAAAGAAAGCAGAACAGTTTCATTGAAAGACCTTGCCTACATCTC